CTAATAAGTTGAATCAAGACCCGTTCAAATTTGGCTTATTTCATGAGCCATTTGTCGGGCCGAAATCGAGCCAGCTCATGAGGCTTCTTATATAGCTTACTTACACCTCTAAATGAATGCTTAATCCTTAGTTTTTCAAACCCAATTTTAACACATTTGTGCTTAACAAATACCAACACTAAACCATCTAATAAATTATTTGTTTGCAAAGAAACTTATAATAAGCACATCATTAGTGCTAATCAAGCAATTTGATCTTGAATGATTGTCTTTAAGCAATCATAACTATACGTTAAGGGTTCATTTGTTAGAGAGCTACAGCTAACATTTTATTGAGAAAAAAAGTTAAGTCAGATCCTTTCCACTGTCATTAATTATCTTAGGGTTTTTGTCAACTACTCCCTACAAAGACCATAATATTTATTTTTTGTTAGGGATGAAGCAGTTTAACTACTAGCAAGAATTTCGTTAAGTCCGAAGAAACATAAGCGCTTCACACTCTTCAACTTTCCTTCTATATTGTCTCTCCATTGCAACTTTGAGGAGATTTTCAAATTACTCAAAAAAATTTTTTTTTTGAATTATGACCATAATTAATGTTCTAATTAACTAATACTTGTCTTTTTTTGATCAAATATATATGATTGAGTAAGAGCTAAAACCTAGTAATAATACACAATAGGAAAAGGTCAAAAATTTTCATTCAATTTGTTTGTTAACCGACCAAATGTTGTATAGATATTTTAAGTGTATTTTTTTTATGAGCCAAACGCAAACAAAATCTTATTGAATTGTATTTAGCTCATTTTTTGAGATGTATGTACTTATATTAATTGTATTTTTTAAAATATTGATGAATTTGTTAGTAGATAGGTAGAGTGCTTAGTAGTTTCGGGTTGTTTCTTGTGTTCAACTTGTATTAGAAGGAGTCGAATACGTACATCGAGAACGTGAAAGTTTTAGTGAGTTTAACCTGAACCCAAAATACTCGCTCAAATTCGGCTTATTTACGCATCAAAGTTCCTACATTTATTGAGCTTCAAATTATTATTTTTTAATTGTAGTGGATAAAAATGATAATAATATTCAAAGGCATGACATCTAAATTTAGCATATAAAAATATACTTTTTTTTCTTTTAATTGAGAGTGATCAAGCATAAGAAAGTTAGTTGAGGTTTTTTTTTTTTCTCTCTCTCTCCAATTTATCATATTTAGTATAGACTTGCATTCTATGCATTGAGAGCCTAAAATACTAAGAAGGCATTTTTTGTGCCAAAAAAAAAAAAGTCTGACTTTGAGGAATGAGAAACACTCTATGTCTAAGTCAAAGAGTGAGCTTAAAGTCTTGGAAAATGATTGAAATCAATAAGATTGTCGTCTTATTTAAAGTGAGGTCATCCTCCATATCTTCTCCCCTTCCCTCCACCTACCCTCTCACCAACCTAAGGGAATATTTTTAGACATTTGGATAATATATTATCTCTGCTCAAAGATTTATGTTTGATTAAAATGCTATTTGATTAATAGTATTTTTATGATGTGCTTGATTGAAAAAGTGTTAACTGTATGACCTGAATACAACAACAAGTGTGCAAGGATTGTTGAATTGGTGCCCGGTTGCAGTGTTAAATTAATAGACAAGGGTTCCCACATCATAGACGAATGTAGGCAAAGGAGTTAGTCCATGAAATTAAAATTAGTATTTTAACTATGATATTTTGATAAGAGTCATATTAGAAATGGTGTAGAAATATCAATTCCCTTACAAACAAATTATTAAAAGTAATCTATATTATGATTCATAGGAAGATAAATATTCTATGCATTCAAGAAACTAAATAGGTTAGAGAGAAGGCTAAGGAGATTGATAATTTAGGAATTAAATTATAGTATTCTTGTAAGAGTTGTACTAGAAATGATGTATGTATGATTATAGATAAGAGTTTAATGGATCATGTTGTAAAAATTAATAGAATTTGAGATAGAATTATAACTTTAAAGATTATTATCTATATTAAAATTATCAATATTATAAATGCTCATGCTCCTTAAGTAGGTTTGGATATTAATTGATTCAAAATTAAAATTTTGGATGACTTAAAAGAATTAATGCAAAAGATATCACTTGAAGAAAAAAATAAAAATAAAATGTATTCACCGTCACATATTAGTTTTGGATTTTAAAATGAAGGGATGAAAAATAGAAAATAAAATAAATTATTGTTGTAGGATAAGATAGGGGTTTTTAAAGAATTTTAATAAAAATATTTTTTAGAGTAAAATACTAGATCTTAAGATTTTGTCTGTGCATAGGCAAGCTAATGTTATGTGAGAAAAAGTAACTAGTTATATTAATAATATTGCAAAAGATATGCTTGGTGTATCAAAGGAAAAAGATTCTAATAGTAAAAATTATTTGTAGTGGAATCATAATATGCAAAAAAAAAAAAAAAAGATAAAAAAAAAATTTATTATAAAAATTAATTTAGATGTAAAAATTTGAATAATTGGAAAAGATATAAATATGCTCGTAAGGATTCTAACAAAACAATATGCGATGCAAAGATTTTTAACTTTTAATAATTTATATATTAGATTAGATACTAATAAGGACGAAAGATATATGTATAAGTTAACCAAACAAAGAGATAATAGTGATAAGGATTTAGTTTAAGTAAAGTGTATTAAGGATGGAGATCAAAGAGTATTTTTATTAGAAGAGGATATTCAACAAAAGTGAATGAGATATTTTTCTAAACTTTTCAATGAATATTATGAGAATCCGATTGACATTAGTGACCTTAGCACCCTAAATAAAAATAAATAATTTTTTTTTTATTGACGTATTAGTAAAATTGAAGTTAGAGAGACTTTAAATAATATGAAGTGCAGAAAAGTTATTAGGCCTGATGATTTTTTAATAAAGGTGTGGTAATTCTTAGGAGATAAAGACATTTTTAGCTTACTAAACGTTTTAATATTATTTTGAATACTAAAAAGATGTCAGATAAGTGAAGAATGAGTGTGTTTATTCTTATTTTTAAGTATAAAGGTGATGCAGAAGATTGTGCAAATTATAGATAAATTAAGTTAATATGTCATACTTTAAAACAATGGGAGAGAGTTATGGAGCATAGATTGCGACGTGATAATAATGTTTCTCCTAATCTTTTATTGAAATCTTATGGAGGGTTGACAAAAAACATGACTCGATACAACTATGTCAAAGTAAGAATGATTAATATCTCATTTTACCATTGTTGTGTAAAATTCCTCCTGATTTACAAAAAGGGTAGAGAGAAGAAGAGAGAGGGTGTGCCTTTAAACCATCATGTTATATATTTATATTGCTGGCAAAGGAAGTTTTATCCTATAAAAAAGTGTTATGTTAAAAGAAGAAAGAGGAAGAGTTGAGAGGGGAGAAAAGAGAGAATTGCATACAGATAATTTAAATGATTCGACCTTGCTAGCCTAAGACCACTACAACGAAAAGGAGATAAGTTTGACTGTACTTGTGGGAGTAAGTTGTAATGATTACAAACTCTTCCCGAGGCAAAGGAGATCATGGGATACATGTCAAGCTTAGAGAAGATCTTTTTTGGGAAAAAGCTTAGAGAAGATCAAGTGCCAAGTGGTACGCTTGGAATCTAAGAGCGATAGAGAAAGGTGTGAGTGATGTGGATCACTTGTCCTAGAGACATGAGAGATAGGAGAAATTTCGATTCAATTCTTATTCGAAAATTTCTGTTTAGGGTCAATCCGAAATCAAAATAGGTCGAAAACAATTCTATCTTAAAACCCGTTTTTTATTCAAAATTGACATGAAACGGGTCTGGTTCGAATTCAACTAGAATATAGGGGTGTCAATATTTGACACGACCTAAAAATTCGACTCGAATCCAACCCATAAAATTTCGGGTTAGGGTCAATTTCGGGTTCAAAAATCAGATCGGATTCGGATTGACCATTTGACCTGAAATTTATATGAAATTGACTCATTTTTTACCCGAAAATCCATTTTGACCCACAACCCGAGATTGACCCGTTTTTTTATCCGAAAAGAAGATATTGACTCGTTTTTTAACCCGAAACTAGCCGTTTTTTGTTAGCACCGTGTCATTCAAGTCATGCAGGTTGACCCGAACCTGAAGCGGGTCGAATTCGAGTTCGAAAAACAAACCCGTTTACAAAAACGAGTCAAATTTAGGTTGAGCTGGTTAGTGCCAGGTCAATTTTGGGTTCAATCCGAACCCGACCCGTGACCCGAAATTAACCCCCCTATTGAGAGATACAACAGAGAGGCTATTGAGAGATACAACAGAGAGGCATTGCAGTATGACAAGAGATTCATGCTTAAAGTAGGATTGAACTTCTATGAAAATTGATAAATTTTAATGTATAACCTTTATATTATAGTTTACTTTTTTTTAATTTTTTTTATATTATAGTTTACTCAATGATGCATCTAATCATGATTTTAAAGAACTTGAAATCTTGGTTAAATTATGCGGTAAAATTTTTGCCATGATGTTTATAATGAATTAATGATAGAAATATATTTTAAAATGTTTTAATTATAAGATTAAACACACACAAAAAAAAAACTCTTCTCTGGATAAATATATCACTTAAGATTGTTTAATTGAGGTTCAAGCCATTTAAGGCCAATCAAAAGTAAAAAATAAATAAATAAATAATTTTTTTAAAAAAAAAGGCCAACCGAAAGTTTACGGGCGTATTAAAATGAAGGCATAGGCTTCATTTGGGCTTTGTTTGAAATAGCTTTATTCCTGCTTTCTAAAATATTTTTTTAGTATAAAAAATTTTAGTTCATTAAAATTTCATACTAAAAAACTACTTTAAAAAATATGAAAAAAAAAACTACCTCGATCGAAGCCTTTATATTCATGCAGCTATACAAAAATAATTATCAAAGTTCTTCACATCATAATCGCCATTAATTTTTTCTACAACTCAAACTGAAAGAAATTTAAATTTTGATTGATTAATAATACATTATACTAATTTTAAAGCAATAAATAAAAAAATTCATTCTAAACAAGCTATATTGACCCAGATTTTCTCTATTATCATTAACCTAATTAATATTTCGGTCAGGAAGGAATGTGACAGGCAAGCTTTATGCAACAAACTATTATGTACGACTTGACTGTTACCAAAGAAAATACAGCGAAAGCAACGCAATGGGAATCAAAGCAAACCAAATAACCATGGCTTGAGTTCTTGGACTGGCAACAGCAGCTGCCTGATGGTTTTCCAATTTGATCAGCAAATTGATCATACTTGTTGCCTACATGTAATAATTCAATCATTTCTTGCTCTATTTTCATACGAGAACATGAATTGCACGAATTTTTATGCATAAAAATTTTTGAATTTAAATGTATGATCCTACCTCAGCAAATTTCCATGTACCATTCTGCAGAAACTCAGTCAGTTGTTGCTCCATTTTGGCATGCCGAGAACGCTTCTCTTCAAGTTTTCTCATCAGGTCGGTGACTTCCATCTCATTGAATGCAACTGTTACCTGATAGGTGGAGCCCTCAACTTGGCCCTGCTATTGAATTGTGAGTATCATTTTTTTTTTTGGGAACAAGATGTTCACCCGCTGCCATCCCTGAAAGGGCGCTTGGCGGCGTGACTAATCCTTGTCTGGCCTAGAAAAGGCACCCGCCCCAGAAACCTCCTGGCCCGCACTTGATTGGGCCCCACTTAAGAGAAGCTGCCGCTCGAGGGGAATCGAGCACAAGTTGGGGGGTTCCCAACCGTACTCGCCCACCAATCAAACTAAACATCGATGGGTGTATCAAAATTATTAACTACGTAATCATATTGAAAATACATCATTTGTTTTAGAATAGGCTATGGCATGTACGAAATTGAAGATAATTCCAAAAGATTAGAGAAAAGTAACATCTTACAGAAATTTATTTTAAATGAAAATGATAATAAGTTTTATCAGGTCCATCAATCACATTCAAAGAGTTTGTCCATCATAAGTTTGGAAGATTTCATTTCCACTTACAAGTTTGACCAATCAATGTCTGGCATAAGTGGATTCCTAGTTTAGCTCATGGTGGAGACAAAATATAAAAACATAAATGTGTATCAAATGCATGGAGATCCAGTTAATGTACGGTCTAGGAAAGGGTTGTACATATTCGCCAAAATAGGTTGATAAAAAAAATTCAAAAGCTGATTTTCCAAACCATTTAATTTTAAAGGTAGTTAATGTTAGCAATAAGAATAAGAACGTGCTCAAATAGGATGGGAAAGAAATCAAAAAGTTAAATAAATTGACATATAACTTCCCTTTCTCCCATTTTAAGTATGGTCACAGCTTATTGGTTGGTTGAAACTGGAAAATATGTTTTGAAAATGAAATTACCACTTTTTTAAGCATGATTTCCATCTACAAGTAACCAAATGAGCCCAAAAAAAGATTGAAAATCAAATCATTTTCTAACATGTTTTATATCTACAAATAGCAAATGAGCCGGTAATCAAAGCAAATGCCCTAGCCGACTGCCTTTTTAGCTCAAGTATGCCGATGGCTCTTACTTGTACGTATAGAGGTTTAATAAAAAATCTACTATTACGATTCCAAAACTTTAAAAATTAAGCAAATAATCTGCTAAGAAGGTACCTCAGATGTTGCAGCAGGCTTCTCTTCAGCTACAGCTAGCTTTTTTTCAGCTTCAAAAAGCTTGTTTTCAGCTTCAGCTAGAGTCATCTCACGCTCATATAACCTCCTCTCCAGGTGCAATTTATCTTTCTGTTGTTTTTCCAATTCAGATGTAAGACTATCTATCTGACACTCAAGCTTTCTGTATTTGCTCTCAGAATCATAGTCTTCCTTTAACTTTACAGCGTTTACTACCTTCATTGCCTACAGTGAACATTTGAGAGAAAAAGACGTGACTACCTTCATTTTCTACTGCAAACATCTTTTATAGGCAAATGAGGTTTTACTATGTAGTTCTCTAATTTGTGTGCATATAAATAGCATAATATACGTACATACATGCGTACTACGAACAAATAAATATCCCACAGAAGATATTACAAAATAGTGCGGGGAATCATGGTTTGACTGAACCTAATATACCATGTGCTAAAATTGGGTCATATATGGGAAAATTGCAGCTTACATTGCTTTGATAATTGGCACTCTAATTTTTTTTAACGTATTTCCAATTGTCAAAAATAGAATGAATAGCGCATTAAGAAGCACACTTAAATGCTGAAGGTAATTTAAAATAAATGAAGAAGGAAAAACCAACTGGTAATTGAGGAATTAAATAATGGCATTTTGGAGATGATATAGAAACAATCATTTTCGTGATACTTGTTAGTTGTTAGCTTCGTTTTTAATGTTTAAATGGTTTAAGTTTATGAAAAATAAGAGGACAAGTCAGTAACGGCAGCTTTTGGCATGCATATCCTCGTTCCTATTGTGTTTCTACGTAATGCTGATTACAAATTAGAATTAACAATACTTGAAAGGGTCATAGCTGTTGGGGATGAGTAAACACCACAATGACGAAACAAGCAAGAAAGTAAAAGCAACGGAAAACTAAAGGGCACCGGGATTTAACATGGAGAACTTCAAAATAGGGGAAAAAAATCACAGAGTCACACCACACCAAAAAACCCACTATGAAAATTGGGAGAAATAAATACAAATCTCTATTCTCTCTCACTCTTTCCTTCTCTTCTCATTTGCATCGTTCTCAATATCTAACTTCCAGAAATACAAGAGAAAGCCATGTAAATAACCCTAAGGGATGCAACCCTTCAAAAAAATGAGACAGAAAACCGTCCAACCCGTCTCATAACATTGTGGCGCCTATTTGGGGCACTGCGGCGCTCAAATCTCTGTTTTGATGCTCTACAGCGCCATATCAAGACCGTTGTGGTGCTCCTCTCTCTATCGTTCAACGTTGGTACGCTTGGGTATGTAGTGTCAGAGCGCTCAGATACACAGCATTGGAGCGTTGTATAGAAGAAAAAAAAAGTTGGGTGCAAAAGAACCAAGCAGGGGGTAAACCCCCCACACCCCCCCAACAAGCACAAAAAACTTGAGGTCTGAGACAACAGAACAATCCAATTGATCAACACAATCAGATTCCACACAGAACAATCTCTCACTTGGAAACTAATTGCAATAAATCCTTCTTCCGATTCAGATCATCAATCATAGTACTTTTAATGTGGCTCACCCCTGCTCTCATCCTTCATGAAGACCAACTAAAGCTACACATAGTTTCAGTTCATCAACTGTCACCATCTTCTTTAGCATGTCTGCAGGATTCTCGATCGTGTGTATCTTCTCCAAAGGTAACTGACCATCTTCCAGAAGAGACCTGATGAAATGACATCGAATCTGGATGTGCTTCTTCCTTGCATGGAATGTAGCATTCTCGGCTAAATGTATTGCACTCATGTTGTCACTGTGCAGCTTCTCATTCCTTTGCCCATTTTCAAAAAAGTTCTGTCAAGAAACTTTGCAACCAAATCATCTCCATGCTAACCATAGTGATAGCAATGTACTCCGCTTTTGTGGTTGAGAGCACAACAATCTTCTGTAACTTAGAAACTCAATTGACTGCAGTCTTTTTCAGAATGAAGATATAACCTGACATACTTCTCCTACCATCAAGATCTCCAGCAAGATCACAATCTACATACTCCTGCAAATCAATCCATGCACCACCAAAGCAAAAAAGATTTGTCAACTAATCCTCTCAAGTACCTGACAATCCACTGAACCGCTTCCCAATGAAGTTTGTTTGGATTACTCATAAATTTGCTGACCAATCCCACTACATATGCTATATTAGATCTTGTGCAGATCATAGCAAACATCAAACTTCCAACTATTGAAGCATACGAAGTCTTCTTCATATGTTCTTCCTCTGCTTCAGATTTAGGCGATTGTTCCTTAAATAACTGAAGTGACTGCCGAAGGGATTGTAAACTGACTTTGATCACTCATGTTCAATCTCTGAAGCACCTTTCCAACATACTCTGTTTGAGACAACTTCAGTATAGTTGCACTTCTATCTCTATTGATTCTCATTTTCTTTATTAGACTCAAATCTTTCATTTCAAACTCCTTCGATAATTGTTCCTTCGGACATCTTATCTTCTCCATATCTGAACCTGCAATCAGCATGTCATCCACATACAAAAGCATAATAATATAATAATTATCAAAATATTATAAAAAATTACAGTGATTAGCCTGATACTTCGTGTACCCATTATCTGACATAAACCTATCAAATCTCTTGTACCACTATCTTGGTGCTTGCTTTAGTCTATATAAGCTTCTCCTAAGCCTATACACAATATCTTCATTACATATGACCACATATCCCTGAGGTTGTACCATATATAACTCTTCATTAAGGTCACCATGAAGAAATGATGTTTTTACATCCATTTGATCTAGATGTAAATCCTACGTTGCTAACATGCTCAGTACAACTTTGATTGTAGTCATCTTCACCACTAGAGAGAAAATTTTTATTGAAGTCTGCTCTTTCCTTCACTTGAAAACTTTTAACTACAAGGTAGGCCTTATAGCGCTTGCTACCATCAGGTTCTTTCAACCTATAAACCCACTTGTTCTACAGTTTTATCTTGCCATCTAGTAGCTTTGTCAAAACTCCCAAGTCTAATTAAACTCAAGTAAACGAATCTCATCATCTATAGCTTACTCTCATTTCTTTGAATCATCAACTTGAATGGCTTCATCATAACACTATAGTTCACCACTATTTGTCAGCAATATATAGTACAAAGAAGGTGAATACATTTGTATTGGCCTTAAGATTCTGCAAGATCTCTTAATTTCAGTAGCAGGAGTATGAGGTACTCTCTGTGCTTCATAGGCTTTGTCTTCTTAATCATCATCATCCTTTATCTCAATATACTTGGAAGAATATTCAGGAGTCTCATTTTCATCCTCATACATTTCATTTTCATTGAATTTAACATCCCTGCTCCTGATGAATTTTTTATTTTGATAATCCTAGGATTTGTAACCAAGTTCATCCGAGCCATATCCAATAAATGTACATTTGATAGATTTTAGATCATGCTTATTCATAGATCCTACATCAATGTGAACATAGGATGAACAACCAAAAACTTTGAGGTGAGATATACTAACCTCCATTCCACTCCAGGCTTTCTCAAGTAGCCCCTCATTTAAAGGAATTAAAGAACCATGATTGATCAAATAAACTGCAGTATTCAATGCCTCTGTCCAAAACTGCTTGGGTAGATTAGCATATAGCCTCATGCTCCTAGCATACTCAGTGCTAGTTCTATTCATGCACTCTGCAACACTATTCTGTTGTGATGTTATTGGAACAGTGAACTCATGCCTGATTCCATCCAAAGCACATTACTCCTTGAATTTCTTGTCATGATACTTGCAACTATTATTTGATCTGAGATACATGAGCTTCAAACTTGTCTTAAGCTCAGCAATGACCTTCCACTTCTTAAAAGCATCAAACACATCTGACTTGTATTTTAAGAAGTACACACATACCTTCCTATTGTGATCATCAATAAATGTGACAAAATACAGAGATCCTCCTATAAAAGTAACTAGAGTATGACCCCATATATCAGTATGCACTAACTCCAACTTCTTTGACTTGACCTTTGAACCAATATTTGAAAAAGTCATCCTATCTTGCTTGCAATATACGTAATCTTCACAAAAATCTAAATCTATAGATTTTAAATCATAACGTTTTCCTATGGTAAGAAGTAAACGTATACATTTCTTATTCATTATTTTTGGTGCCCCCAGTTGCACATAAAAAGTTTGTTGCTCTAGATGTTCAATGTCTATGGCTTGGTTTATCACCATCCTATTGAAGTAGCAATTTTCTGTTCAAGGAATCATCAGTACTAATATAGATGCAAAATAATCTATAGTATTTCAGGCAAGAACTCAGCTTAAACCCTAAAGAGAGCAAAAGGATAAAACCAGAGTGTAAGTTTACCAACAGCAAACCACAAGAAGAACCAACTTGGCAAAGAATCTGTAATATTAAATACGAGAAACAGCTAAAAGTAATGTTGCAACTTGCAACATTAATAAATGTTTGGTGCGAAGAAGGGGAAATTTGAGAATGCAGATATATATTGAGTATTGACTAAAACTGAGAACCATCTTGCTGCAAGAACCTTAACAATGAATGACCATCTATAAATGAAATACAATAAAATGCTACTGACAGGAAATGAAACTGCCTAAGAAACTGATTTCTTAGCAATCCATACAAATAGGAGCAAGCTTGCATGAAATATTTTGGAAAGCCGAGGAAATTAGAAATACCAACCCTCTGCCCAAACATAATTGTACTTGAAGTTTGTGAGTAGTGCCGGGCTGATGGACTAACTGTAATGATAAGGGATGTCCGTGCAGTTCCTGCACAGAAGGGAAGCGAAAACCTCAAGGATAATATCTCATGCAAAAGCAAATACAATAGAGCAAGTGAACGAGTCATAGTGCCCTTGTCCTCTTAATGACATATCAAGGGTTCAAATCATTTTCAAAAAAATGAATTAAAACCTACCTGACAGGCTGATTAGGTTTACCAAACCTTCTTGTTTCCACAATGGCAATTTCTAATTATTTATTTCTTATGAAGAACTTCAGAAACGCTCATCTCTATGAATTTTCAACTTTAAAGTAATTCAATGTGCAAACTAAACAAAAATAGAGAATAATAAGCAATTTAAATTAATCAAAAAAACAAAATTTGAAAAATAATAAGTAAAATCAAATTAAAGGAAATAACTTGTCATATCTGAAACACTTAATCAATGGCTAAATACACTATCATAAACAATAACTAGTTATTAAGTATTGGAATATTAAGTTTAAAAATCAAGTTGGAGTCTCTTAAATGTAAGTATATGGGCAGAAAATACATAAAAAAGCAGAAAAAATGTTAAAGGTAAAACCTCCAAATGAATCAGAAAGCAATCTAGTGAGCTTGGAGTCTCTTGTTGGGATATGGGTACTGTTTTCAGCTAAAGCATTTATGCATTTACCAAGGGAATTTAGAGAAAGATTTATGAATTTGGCCTCTTCGAGCATCTGACCATCAACACCTTCAAAGAAATATGAAGTGGTGAGTTAAGAACATGGAAATGAAACTGAATTAATTTATAGAAGCATAATGTTCCAGTATCAATTTTAGAGCACTTAAAATATGCGATGAAAATCTTTTGGCTTCTAAATTGAGAATTTTATTTTAGTTTATCATGAACCCTTTCACTTAACAGGGTTATCAGATTGTTATATCAAATATCACATTTTTTCAGAAGTTACATACAAAAAAACGGAGCAGGTCACTAAGCAAACCAGATTCATCTATTCGTTCTGATCCGGCAAGGTCAATGATTAGTAGCTTGCTTTTGAAAAAAGCAGACAAGTGTGGAAATTCTTCACTATTATTTATGTTCACTGATAGGAATTCATTTTCATCTTTTCCCTTGGAAGATCTCTGTATATGAACCTAGACAAGCATCAATAGTAAGAGTCTCGTAATAAAGAATGTTAAGTACGGCTAAGCTTAAAAATTACAATTTCTTGAGCTAGGAGCACATCTTGAAGTAACCTACCACAAGAATTGCATGACTTCTTGAAGATCTCGCGTTCATTTTTGTATTGGAAGCATGACGATTCTTTTCACCAGTTTGCAACACTTGAAGAAATTGGTCAATGTCACTGATTTCAACAACAGTAGCACCAGGCAAGCAAACTTCTCCAGATTTGGAGTCTTTGGTAAGGGCAATGTTATTTTTGTCAGGAGCTAGTAGGTCGTGTATTGCTTCTAGATACAACTGCATCAAAATAGGGAGCTATCTTAGAAGTTCCACTTGCTAGATTAAACGAATGAAGAGCATACAAGTATGCAAACTCTCATCTAAATTAGCCAATTTTGAGATGTAAATGTTTACGTGCAAAAAATTATATCACGAAAGTAAAGTTCACCAAAATCATCTTTAAGACATTATGCATTGCAAAATTAAAACTGGTCTATGTTCTCTTGTTCTGATATTCAATTGAAAAAGTTGAGCAACATCTTGAACAAAGATTTAGCCTATCATGCCCAAGAGAACTTAAGCATTGGGTTGTGATATATGGATTAGAGTCAACCTGAATTCTATTGGAAAAGAAAACATAAGCTTCCATTAAATAATCATCCAAATTTATTTTTAAATGCTTGGTTATTTGAGACTAAATGAAAAATCTTTTTTCATCCAAAGATGGAGAGAGAAGTAATCCCCAACAGAGTCGCCAGAAATCTATTAAATCAAAAAAAAAAATGGCGCGAATGTATGAATCCCGCTTTACAGGCATAAGATTTCATCTTTCTTGGGTCAGATTGTATTTAACCAGATTTCCCCTGATGGCAGTATCAGGATTTAATTAGATTTGGTACTCTATTTCCCATGAGCGCAAGAGCTCATAGTTAATTACCCCTCTAAAAACGTAAGATAGAACTCTCAATTAAGGATAAATAAAGTTTAGGTGTTTTTAGTCTCAATTATGGGAAAAATGGAGGTAAACCTCGATCAAGATCCCGTGAATCCGTCGTCCCGGGTATACCGTAAGTTTTAGTCTACCAACACTAACAATCATTGACCGTAGTATCCAGAAAATCCGATTAGCAGTCATGGATTACATCCTCTCAAGGATCTCGAGTAGACTGAGGTGGTTAGATGTTGTTTTAATTTTATTGAGTTTTTGAGGTTACATCTATTAGAATGCCAGTAGTTGATTTGGTTTGAGGATTTATAATTTCGTTTAGAAGTTACACATAAGTTTGATTTAAAGAGGATCTTACGACTTCTCTTAGAAGTAGCCCAGGTGTTTGAATTTGGTTCAGAACTTACGGATTTCATTAAAAGTAGCCCGTAAAACAAGTCTTACGACATCTATTAGAAGTAGCTCATTAGTGGGTCTTACAACCTAGCCTATAGGGCTAGGTTGTTAGACTGCCCTTACCTTACATTATATGAAGAAAGAACACTTTTAGGCATAAAAAGCATATGCTCGCATCTTAAGCAGACCTAGGCAAGAAGGCTGCTCAAGCATCTTTTCCAAGGAATTTATCCCAAGAATGGGAAGAACTTCATTTCAACTGAGACTAATACAAAAAAGGGATTGCAAGCTGATGAATGAATGTGAAAAGCACCCTGGTAAAAAATGGATTATTATCGTGAATCGTTAGAGTTAGAATGCCATCGACAGATGAAGATCTTAATTGATCTGCCTTTCATTGTAAGTCAACAACTAACCCAAATCCGAAAGAAAAATGAAAGTTTAGGATAGTTTTTCTATCACGAAAAGCCCAGAGCTCGCGCTTCTTTAGTTTAGAGTAATCAAAATTCTAAAGGATATCTAAAATTTTCTTTTATGGCATTACACTCTCTTCTTCTTTTTAGGGGTTACAAGGCTATGCTCCTTTCAAGAGAGAAAGTGGGGTGATTCATCTTCCTGTATAATTTCGAGTTCACGTCTAGTCTTCTCTGTCCACTAGTGAAACTTCCAGCTCAATGTATGGTAGTCATTTGACTTGGGAATCCCTTTGCCCAACTAGCTCGTTCGTGTCTGGTAATTTAAGCCTTGGTCCAGCAGCCTATTTTTTGTCGCATGAGAAGAAAGCTTCTGGTTAGCTTCAGTTAGTGTTAGTGAAATATACTGGGAACCTCGTAATTAAGCCAAGCCCGATCTTGGTTCCAATGCAACAGAGGCAAGTGTTGTTGATCAAACTAATCGACTTTTCTTTCGAGGAGATCAATCTTAATTGGATCTTTTTGCTAAACAAATTAACATATTGCGAGGGGGAGGGGCGAAAATTTCAGACTTGATTAGCATTGTGAATCAGTTACTTGTTCCTTCCACCCTAAATGCAGGCCCGCTAGAGCATTAACTCGATTCGGATCAAAAAACTTGACAACCTGGAATGAATCACATTCCCAAGAGGAAGTGCTTTCGTGAACAAATAAGCCCCTCCACACAACCAATGCGAGCGGGTCCCACTGGAGAGTTGTCCAATACTCAAATCTTCCATCTATTAGTGCTTTCAAACCTTGAGTAATGAATGGTCTAAAGTAAGGCAAGGCTTCTTGGAATATCTATCTCTGAAGCCAGGTAGCCAGGCGCTAAAAGGAAAGGCATTGATTGATATAGTTGGAACTTCTTCTTGCAAGATCAGATCTGAACAAATAGGCTTTTATTGAATATCCTGCTTAGGAAGAATCCGTAGATTGGGGCTTTCTTTCTTAACTTCAGGTGGGAGGGGCCCGAGGGGGCGCTCTATCCTTTCATTTTCTATTATGAAGCATTTCGGTAAACTCCCCGACGTCCCCTCCACGCTAAGGGAAGTTAAGAGGCACTTGCCTTTGGTTCTTCCTGACCGGATCTAAGCTACGACGGAAGGAGGTCTTCGGTTTAAGCATTTATGGCCGGATCTAAGCTACAACGGCGCAAATCTTCAAATCAATTGTACATATTGCTTATAAAAAAAATTTCTAAAATCTGGCAACCTTCCAACGACCTCTCTCCCCGTGAAGAGAGGTTGAGACAGCACTTATGGTTGGTTCTTCCTGGCCGAATCTATGATACCATAATTAAGGTCTTCAATTCAAGTTATTCCCGACCGCGTTTGCGATTGGGAGCTGTTTGGAGTCATGTGAAGGAGACAAGCGCAGGGTTCCGATTTGCTTGCGTATTAAACAGGAGATGGAGGTTGGAGACTGGGCCGGTGAGTCACGGGATCGTGCGAGCGGGGTCGGATTCCTGCATGCAGGCGAGGCGAATCGGGCAGAGCCGCAAAGGAATAGCGTGCGAGCCGGTGCATAGGAGGGCTGGAGTCGGCGGCTGCATGCAAACGAGAGAGAGACGAGCGAGTTGGGCTGCTTCGACTGCGTGCGTGGGACAATCGGGATCGAGAGGGAGGTGTAAGCGGATTGTAGGGCTTGCATGCGGTCAGCTTCGAGCGTGAGACAGAAGGGCAAAGAGCGGGAGGGAGTTCGGTGAATCTGTGTTCAAATGAAAGCAAGAGGGCCTCCTATTAATTCCATCTGCTTGCAGTTTTGAAAAAATGAAAAGTCGGGTCGCTTAAGAGCGAGCAATTGTGTGAGGTAATGGGGTAAATTGGGTTGGTTGGTGGTCTACGGTCAACATCTTTCATCCAAAATGTTTGTAATTTAGTTGAATGCGTGACTGAGATCGTGTTAAGTTTGTTAGATTTTTTTTTTTAGGCGGAAATCTTAAAAGTTGCATAATTTTATATTTGCTCTCAAATTTGTATGGAATTTCAAATTTTAACAACTTTAATATCATTTAGAATGAATTAAATATGTTTATAATTTTGCATCAAATGGGACTTATCTTTGCTAAACTGAGAATAGAGAAATTGCGGATTTTAGCTTTTTGATGTTTCTTTATGCATCTGAACTAAGATTTGCATTTGTGAACCCAAAACCCTAAGACTTTATAGTTCACAAGTGAAGTTTAGAATTTTAGACCATCCATTCGAATCAGATAGCATAGAGTATTATTCAACTTTCAACAATTCTGTATTAGCATGTAACGCAATAGAAAGTAACCATGTGAAAAAATAAAAAAAGGCATATAGAAACTATGTTGCCATAAGCTTAAAACAAAACTTGTATGACTTCAAGCAAACTTTCATTAAAAAAAAATTCCAAAATATCTTTAGATTAGAATTTTAGAGGCTTACTTGTAAGTAAGAAATTGAGAGATTGTCAAGCCCAGGAGATATTTCAGCAAGAACATCCTCTAAGGCTCTAACCATTATTCCACGTTCAGAGGAATTGTCATTTCCAAGGCTGCCAATTGTATATGTTTTACCAGTACCAGTCTGACCATAAGCCATCACAGTCCCGTTGTAACCACTCAATACAGTCTGTCAAAATGCATTAAATTAAAAGACTCAATTGATAAGGACATTATAAGCATGATGTAGGTTCTGGAATTAATCTAGTACAAAATACATAAATAAAGGGAAAAAATCAAATGTAATTATGTTAAGAGACCCTACATTCAATCAGTATACTTTAAACCATTTATCAAAGCTAAATAAACTTTCAAATTTTGGGAATGCATAAATCTTCATCTAGCTCATCATAGTGATCTGAGATTTGGAAAGTAAGCATTGTTAGGATGAGGCCTTAGATGACGCAAATAATTTGAACTTGTATACAAAAATAGGCATTGCAATGGTCAGCTACGAGTCAGCACTTACACGTGCTACTACAAAAAATCAAAATTGTTAACAATATGATTCTTAATTACTCCATCCATAATGAAATTGTACGGTGATAATCATCCTGCATGTAATTGTATGGTGATTGTCATCTTGCTAAGAGTTCCTAAGGTAATACGCATGAAATTAAAATGTTGTTAACAATTTTATCATGACTTAACAAAATTCTACAGACTCCATGATAGATCTTGACATATAATAACTAACCAAAACTTATGAATAAGTTCCCTAGAATTGCAATCAAGAAAGTCCTGCAAGAACTCTGAATGAAATCAAATATATTTAACATCATAAGGTCTTAAATAATCAATAAGAGGACAACTGAGCAAAGCCAACACAATTTCAGTACATCAGAAGGTTTGAGAGTCGAACTCAAGTTTGAGCGCAGCTTGACTTGCTAATTCGTGAATTAGATCATTTTAATAATAGCAATGTTTAAAATTGCATAATTAAGTATTGAGGCATTTTCCGTTCATGAGGCAAGGCATCCCTCAAGGCGTTTTGAGGCGTAAGCCTCAAAATCCAGTAATTGTGTAAAGTGAAAATAAAAGTTAAAAGTAATTTTTTATATATATCAAAATAATATATTAAAGAATTACGTATTAGCTTTTTATGGAACTATGAAGAAACAAATTGACATACATTTGAAAAAAAAAATTGCACATGATGTAAAGTGGCAAGTGATAAAATGCGTGAAATAGGATTGAAATTCAAGAACAAAACAACATAAAATATAAGAATTTTGCATAAAATTATCGTATCATCAAGTTTAACTTCAATTTTCTTCTTTCTCACTTCCTTATCCACAATTAACTCTTAAAGAAAGCTAAAATAATTGTTAACAACTTAGAAATCATTTGAACGGTCATTAGTGAGGGGGTTTTTATTGAAGTCATTGTCATAACAAATTGGTCGCTCCTCTGCCTCATCCTGTGGAATCCAAGCCTCTCAATATGCTTTTTCATCATTTATTTCAGTCATCTTCCTCTTTCATAAATATTTCATCAATATAATGATGAGGGTAATTGATGTGAAACATGTATAGAAACAAGAATTGCTTTGCGAAATTAATAATAATTTGAACAAAACTTTGCCAATTCTAAACCTTATATTTCACCAAGTTAGATTCTTGAATTTTTCATTAGAAGTTATTTAATAGCATACAGTTACAAACTAGATTAAAAGAATGCTTGCAAATAACAACAAAGTAAATAAGTAAAACTAATGACAATGAAACAAAAATCCACGGCTTAACAATTAGAAATGTTCACCCTGAGCTCCCTCACTCTCGCTCCTAAAAATAGGGTTTAACTGAGAAAGATTAAAAATAACCCTAGTGATACAACCACGAGACAAATGACGCTTAAGGTATTGTTCGCCGTAGAAGTAGCCGGAGGAGGGGAAATTGATTGACGTCTGATGATTTTCCACTCTCCAATTGGTCGTTGCTCGTCGATCGTCTCGGCGAGATGGTAGAGTATGTGATCCACGTAGCTTTCAACTGAATCTTCGAATTCCCAGTCAGGATCAAAGAAGGGCGACTAAATGATATCGATTTGTCCTTGGGAGTTGTATACAAATCTGTGGTCAACTTCAGGATCGGCCATTCATGGAGGAGACTTCGATTTGTTGGACTTGATCCTTGTAAGGATTTGTGTTGGAGGAGGAGAAGTTATGAGAGTGAGAGGTAAGGGGAGGGTTTCAACTAGGTCAGAGTGGGGTTCAAGGAGATGGGAAGAGGGAAGAGAAATAATGGTTTAGGACTCTTTAATAGGGAAAGAAGAGATTTTGAAATTCAAAATCACTTCAAAAAGTGATGGGGGATTTAATTTGGGCTTGGGGATTTAATAGGAGAGAGAGGCGGCATGGGCAAGGGGGCCGGCGGCTTCTAGAGAGGGAGAGATTTTGGGGAAAGATTCAAAAGCTTCCTAAATGAGTTGTCTAATTTAGGAATAGAAATATTAAATCACATCTAAATTAAATTTAAATTAGAATTGGATTTAAGAACTTTCCAAAATTAGAAATGGTAATTAAAGAAAGTATTTGAAATTCAAATGTATGATTGATTTCAAATAAAGATACTTTCTAAATTGATATGAGTATTTTAGGAAAGTAATTAAGGAAGGTTTGAATTTTGAAATTAAAAATTCATGAGGTTTGTAAGGGTGGTCGGTGGCTAGAGGGGCTAATGGGAGACCGGCGTCTATGGGATTGGATGGCCAGCCAGCGACTAGGGGTATGGGGTTTTGGGTAGCGAAGAAGCAAAAGGGAAAGATGGTGAAGGGGAAAACAAGAGGTGGCCGGCGGTATGGGAAAGAAAGAAAGAAAAAGAAATAAGAAGAGAATAGAAGAAAAGTAGAACCAAGACCCCAAACCTTCAGGCGGCTGTCGGGTATTACGTTGGCCCTCTCTTAGGGTTCTCTCGTCTCTCCGAAGCACACAAGCAACAAGAGTAAAGAAAAACTGAAAATTTTGTTATTGATTCATCATTAACCTCATACAAAGCAAAAAAATCTCTATATATAGGCCTCAATAATAAAGAAATGAAGAAAGACTCAATTGCCCTCGGGGCTACAATAAGAACTCACTACCCATAGGGGTAAACTAGGAAAATTGAAATGTAAAATAAATCAAGCATAAAATACATCAAAAGTAAAAGCTCTGAATCATAGTCGTCGATCTACGATTCCATAAATGATACACATGTCAAAATATTTGGCTGATGTCCTCTTCAGTAATACCCCTAAATTTTTAGAGGAGGTGGTGGTAGTGTGCGGCTTTCAAGTGATTCCCGACGGTGGCTATGATAATGGTGACTACGACTAAGCAGGTAGGCTAGAGGTCAAGACAGTCGAGAGGAAGTTGTTGTAGCTCGAGGGAGCATTAATGCATGATTTGTTTAGGGCTTTAGTTTAGGATTTACATAAACTTTAATAAAAAAATACATAAGTAGGGTGAGGCGTACTACCTCATGCCAGCAAGGCAAGGTACTTCTCAAGGCGTGCCTCAGCTAAGTTGAGGCATAAGCCTCATAAAAAGGTTCAAGGCGTAAGCATCGAGGCATTTTTTAGTGGAATTGTGCAGAGACAAGCCTCATAATGTGCAATTTTAAGCAATGAATAATGTAAAAAAATCCTTAGATACTTCTATAAATATATATAGTTCATGATTGTTTAGTGTTTTCTTACAATTAATTTAAAAATGCATCCCTAGTTCTTAAGCAGATGGTCACTATTAGGGGAGTAAATGAGTCGAGTCGAGTCGAGCTTTGGCACTATCGAGCTTAACTCGTCAGTCGGAAAGCGAGCTCAAGCTCGACTCACGACACTGTACCAAGCTCAACGAGCCGCTCGATTTCTCTCCTGCGTCAGTTTTGCGCCCACTTATTTTAATTTTTCCACCCGGTTTTCGCACAGATTTTCCTGCCAGATTTTCCCGTATGGTTTTCCCACAGCTACAATCTCGAAGAAAGCCCAGCCCGGCTGAAAACTTTTTTAAATTCACAAATCTCAAAGTATATCCTACGGTGAATAAAATATTCCTATTTTAAATTTGGTTGACAGCATTTAAAACATTCTTGTTTAATAATAAGTAAAGCTGCAAGCATTTAATGTCATTTATTAACATTGACATTTGAGAGTTATTTTATTAACTAAAATAGGCAGAAACCGCGGAGCATTTAAAATTTGAACCTAATTTTTTAATAACTTTTAAATGTAATTAAAATATTAATAATAAAAAAAATCAAATAGTAATTCGAAGTTCGAACCAACTTGCAAGCCCATTAACGAGCCGAGCTAGAGCCGGCTCTGCTCACTTACACCCCTAGTCAATATTCTTCTCCCTGCGCATGCTGAGGGTGTTGCAATTCCTACTCCCATAATTCTTTGACTATTGATATTGCAATTCCTTCTTCTATTTGATACAAAATGATTAAGGGTTTAGATTTCCTAATGCAACTAGAATGATTCAAGCAATATAGATCATACAAAGTATGAGAGTTATTTTATTAACTAAAATAGGCAGAAAATCGCAGAGCATTTAAAATTTGAACCTAATTTTTTAATAACTTTTAAATGTAATTAAAATATTAATAATAAAAAAATCAAATAGTAATTCGAAGTTCGAACCAACTTGCCAGCCCATTAACGAGCCGAGCTAGAGCCGGCTCTGCTCACTTACACCCCTAGTCAATATTCTTCTCCCTGCGCATGCTGAGGGTGTTGCAATTCCTACTCTCATAATTCTTTGACTATTGATATTGCAATTCCTTCTTCTATTTGATACAAAATGATTAAGGGTTTAGATTTCCTAATGCAACTAGAATGATTCAAGCAATATAGATCATACAAAGAAAATTGGAATTCTTAGTTCAACGACCAATAAATAAATAAAAATTTGCTTACTTTAAGTGCAAACTAAAAAATATGAGAAATTGAAAACTGATCATGCAATAATAGAGTAAATGTGAAGAAATCAATAAGAAAATCAAACCACATAAAATCAACCAGCAATTGAATTTTAGCACCACAATCGAAATCTTAATTTTATCAAACTTGATAAAAAACCAAGAACTCTATCAATCCCAATAACAAAATATTTATAAGAAAATGATGCAAAAAGAGTTAATCAAAGTGAAGAAAATTTAGGCCTTACAATCATCTCTCGGGACCGAAAAACATACTTCTGCCGTTGCGCTGGGCAGTAAGACCAATGATTCATAGTGAAAGTCAGAAATCGGTCCATTCGAGCTAATCTCAAGAAATCTTCTGAATCAAATCCTTGATAGGAAAAGGGGTCAATAGGCTTTTGGCTAGTAGTAAATAAACCTTTCAATTCTAGAAGCACTATTCTCAAACTAGATCAGACCTGCTAGTATAACTCAAATAGGGACAACTTTTCAAGCCCTCAAGAGCTTTGAAGCTATCGGAAAATAAGCGTCAACGTCATGTTCTATATTTAAGCATTAATATAATATCAACTTTCAAGGAGATGATACCCCAAAATTAGATTATTGCACTTGTACCACACAGAAATCATACATCCAGCATGGACACATGAGATTGAGAACTGGTATCTAAAAACTTATTCAAACAAAGACTTGCATCAAAATAATTATTTAGAGACTCCATAGGGTTGCTCGTTCAAGATGGATAAAACTAAAATTCCAAATTCTTAAATGAAAATAATCTCAAATAAGGTTTGGATATTGTAAAACTCAAAAGTTAGAATACTCCAAAAGTCCCAAAATTACAGTAGTATAGGACGTAGAAGTCAGTTTAAGCCATCGCCCAGGCCAAGAAGGAATTAAATTGGATAAGTCCAAACCAAAACAACTAAATGCCCTAATCCACATTAAATGAACATGTGATATGTGCCAACCAAAAGCCATGGGTGTCGGCAAAAGCCATATTCCCTCAAGTATCCAAGAAACACTAGATCATGTGTAAACAATTGAGGGCGTGTAAATAGTAAATCAAAGGTTCTAAGGAAAAGCTTAACCTATTAATTTTTTAAGAATTCCCCCTCACTCACATAAAGCCTCTAATAGGAATCAATTGAACGCTTTTTTCTCTTAAAAAGGAATCAATTTAATATCATTGCTAAAAGAAATTGAATTATGGGTTGTTTGGTAGGAAGCATGTATAGGAAAAGGGTTGCACGATTTTATTTTTGTGTGTATGCGTGTGTGTGTTTGGTGTAAGGTAAAATGAGTTTAAAATAAAATTTTGAGGTATTCAAAATATTTGAAAATTCTCATTTTCTCTACATTCCAAATGCAGCGAAGGATGAATTTCATTTTCACTTAGACTCAAACTCGCTCACATTTCCATCTCCTCCACAATGAGAAGCTTCACCTAGATCTCCACAACGGAAGGCAGCTTTTGGCAATCATCACCTCTCGCCCCAGCTCGTCTGCCTACTCCTACACACTTCGCTACCTACAACCACTATAGATTCACCTCTTACTTCCGTTTTGGCTACAACTACTCCCACTCCATCTCCCACTCTGTCTTCACCACTTTCACCATGGATCCGCCAACCCTTCAAAAACATGTCATCCTTCAACTTTTCTTCTCGTTGCGAAGATAAAAAAGAAAATGTTGAAGCAAACAACATGCATTATACTTCTTTTGCATTCCATTATTAGATTCATGCATTTTAAATACATGCAACTAAATTGACCATAATTTAATTTAGCAGTCGATAATATAAAGTGTTTCATAGTTGGATAAGGATTCATGGATGATCAAATAGCTAATTAAATGCCAAGCATCAATAAATTAGTCAAGGGTTGTAGTAACTGAAGGTGTCGATGGAAACCAAGCCAAAATGGATGCCTTTCATGGTTATAATCTAATCAAATCTAGGATAGCCATAAGAAATAAGCCAATCTACTAGGTAACAAAACTATAGTTATTGTGCCTCCTAAATAGAGTGATCCAAACTATGAACAAAACCAAATAATTCAGAGAAAAAGGCCCGTCCTATTAAACATTTATCATAAGCATATCCTAGATTCATTAAATTAAAAAATACAAAGTAAAATAAAATGGGACTACTAAAATAAACTTGCTTATATCAATTTTGATTGGCATCTCCAAGCAAATTTTCATCATTACCATACCAGTCTCATGAGCCCTCCTCTTCCTCCTACCAATCAATAGCATTTTGCCACAGCCAATAGCTCTTCCACTATCTTCATTTTCACTATTGTTAGTTGTTTTTGTTTTTTCATTGTCAATAGAAGCTCTTCTACTCAATCTCCATCTTTACTTTCAGTTTTTCTCCAAAAAAAAAGAGTAAATGTTAGTAACTCATCATTGTTGATGGTTTAGTAGCCCTCCATCTTAATAACTTATTTCCACTAAAAGATGTGTTGGCGGCATGTCGACGAGGAGTTCGAAAAAACCCCTCCCCTATCCTTGTTTCACATTTTCTCCACCCCAAACATTACATCTCGGAGAATAAGTAATGGTTAAGCTTGATCACACTCAACTTAACACAGGCCCAATAATTTGAGTCAAATTAATCTCGATTCATGGGAGCCTCATGCTCAACTCAAATTTTGTACATCCCTAATCATCATCATCATTATTGAGAGTAGACATATCTCTATTTCAACTAATTGGGATTGACAAAATGAGCCCTCTTACTCCACTCATTCATGTTGAGTGTTGTATATGGTAGCAAGTCTGCTTTCTGCAATTTTTTGTAAGAAAACTAACCAAATTGTCATTGGTTCCATCTTAAACCCACCACATTAATACTATCAACTTGTTTTATTAACACATTTCCGATACCTTATCTTCGCTAAGTGCTCTCATCACCCCTCTTGAACAATCATAATCAATTTATCCTTAATTTTCTTATATATTCATTTTAATATTCTTATTTCTTCCGCACTCAATATAGTTCGCATTGTTTTCTTTTTTGCCCAACATAGATTGATCTAACATAAATAGTCAACTTATAATTTTATAAAATTTACCTTTAAATCTCATGACATTCTTGAGTCCAAATAATATGTATGAGGCACTTCTAATTTCAACGAGCAATTTAACTTTAGATGTCCTCACATATATTACTATTAATATGTAAAATAGCTCCAAAAACAACAAATATCAAGCCGTTATCCTACTACGTGAGGTCAGCTACATGAATCATTTTTCTCTATTGTGTCTTGTTTAGAGTCAAATTCTCATTTAAATCTAATAAAAATGATCATTTTGAATATTTTCTAACCAAATCTTTTTAGGTCTACCTCTATCTCTCTGAACATAAGTCAAATCTAATATGTATACTCTCACAATCAGATCATCAGAAGGTCGGCGTTATATGTGACCAAACCATCTAAGAAGATTCTCTCTAATCTTATGTGCCACTGGAGCTAATCTTATCTCTAATATGTACAACAACTCTAAAATACTTAAATCAATTGCAACAAGGAGTTTACCAACATTGTGATAACTGATAAATCAACAAAAAGTACATTTGATGTACATAAAATTTATTCTCTTGAGCCTAAGACTCAAATAAAAAAAAATATATTCAAACTTGCTTAATTTAGAAATATCACATGTCAAAACAATGTCTTCTGCAAAAAGCACAATAGAGTTAGCTCACTTGATCAAATATCTTCTTAAAGCATCCCCAAGACTAATGCTAAAAGTGCAAACCCATTGTTGATCCTTGAGATAATCCTACTATGATTGGAACTCTTTCATAACTCCTCAACAACTTCTTATACTAGTCATTGTTACAATATACTTATATAATAACTTTACCATTTCATCGGTGTATATTCTTTTCTTATTTCCACCAAAGAAATTCTCATGGTATTATCATTATACCTATTCAAGATAATAAGCACCTCCAATCTTTAAATATAGGCTCAAATCTCCATAACTTTAAAGCAGTTAATTAAGTTGATATATATCTTTTCCATCTAAAAAAATGTCTTTACAACGTCATATGTTTATGTAGCTTAAATGTTTCCATTGAAAGCAGAATTAAACAGCTGTCACTACTCACTCTAGAAACAATATGATGATCTCCAGCATTGATAAGAGGTAAAAGATAACCAAATCCTAATTGTGGCAAAGTATAAAGTTCAGTAGTTTATAACTTGAATTTTCAATCATATAATAAACTCTGAATAATAGGTGAAAATGATCACAGAAAGAACTAAGATATCAAGTTTGCAATAATGGCATGATTTACCTCAACAACAGGCTTTGCAACTGCTTCATAAACTCGTTTTTGAGAAGCGCTCTCTGTGAAAACATCGTCAAATATATAGGATTCTGAACTCCAATTGTTCTTTCTAAGCTTAAGCCTCCTCAGCTGAAGCCAAATAGAGTTTAAATTTGTCTTACAAAAATCTTAAATTTCGGTTCTTAAATTGTAATATGGTGCAAATCAAAATGTTAGATGTGGCCTCTAGAATTTAGATATCATATATTACTTCATAAGCAAAAAGTTAAATCAGATAAAGTTGCAAGTATATCAAGATTAAAATACCTCCGGCTGTAACTCAAGGCAATCAATTAATTCAGAGTCATAGTATAAATCTTCGTCATTTCTAGGCCGGACTCTAACAGCTACCCGCACCCGTCCGGCATCTGCAAACATAAAAATTACATCAGGGCAATAGTGCGTAATGGGACAGAATTGTAGGAAATTATATACCCGATCAGTTTTTATAGCTTTGGTACCCTGGATCACTATTATATGTCAGGGATCAGTCCTAAGTTGTCCGTTGTTACAAACAAAGGATGAAAAAATACAAACTGGCTACAGTTCTAAAAGAAAACTCAAATAACCTTCTGGCTTCTGCAAAAATCTACCAAGTATAGGTCTATAAGGCATATTTTTTTGCTAGGACGTGCTCCTCTTTTTTCAAGTATGTTACCATTCACTTGATTTTCTCTGGAGAACAAGATCTCAGATCATATTAATTTTAAATAATAATTGATTTCGCTCCAGATGAATTTCAGAAACATTTAGGGAAAAAATAACTTTTTTCACTGATCGTGCCGGTATGCTTCAGTGAACTTAAAAGAAACCCTTTTTTAGCCCTTCACCTAAACCAAAAATGATGAGGACATCTACATGAGTTTTAGCGCGAGGAGACATGCATGATCTACGACCATGATCTACTTTAGATTTTATTATATTTGTTGTATTTTGTTTTATGTTTTATGAGTATATTGTATTTATTTTCATGTATGCCCTTGCTTAAGGGCCTCGTCATGTGTTAGCCTTAGGGGCAATTTGGTCTTTGTATTTTTCTTTATTCCTTTGACTATTTAAGGCCTTCTCCTCTTCATGAGAGGTTAATGGAATGAATATTGGAATGAAAAAGTTATGTTTTGTTTCTACTTTTCTAGCATGAGTGCTTGAGAGGGAAGAGAGCTCAAGGGGAGCAAATCGCAAGGCCCACCAGTCGTTGGAAGAGTCCGCGGCTCGTGGTTAAGTTCTTTTTATCTTATTTGTGCTT